AAACCCTAAACCCTAAATCCCACAACCCTAAATCCCACAACCCGAAACCCTAAACCCTAAATCCCACAACCCTAAACACTGCAACCAGCCTTACGGCCCCAAGCCCGGGAACCCTTGCTTGAAAGCTTCAGGGGCAGTCATGGGCCATACATGCATGCACTGGGGGCCACCCTTCTGAAACCCCCTCAACCCCAAACCCTAAACCTGAACCCTGAACTCTCAACCCTGAACCCTACCTAAACCTGAACCCTAGACCCCTAAACCCCTATAACCTTCCAGATCCCCAAGACCCGAGAACTTGAATGGGGCCACAATGAACCGATCTATCCAAACCCTGAACCCTAAACCCCTTCACCCCACCCAGCGAAATCCGTGCCTGCAGCTCCAGAATCCGCCGATTCCGTATCGAGGATGTCGAGTACCTGGATCCCCCAGTCATGTCAGAATCCCATGTCTGAAGTTGAACCAAGGAACCCGAAGGCCCCTCCCCCCTAATATAGTACCCTAAATAGTAGGATCCTTAGAAGGACCCCAAAATAAGGTACCCCTCCCCCCCCAACAAAAAAAAGACACACACCTCATTCAAAAGCCCAGGAACTGGTGGTAGACTGGGAGGTCGGGGAGCCTCGAGCGTGTCAGGGGCGCATGCCGATGCGCGTAGACCCAGTTCTCACCGGCGTACTTGTGCCGCTGAAAGCGCACGGTGCCCTCCCTGCAAGGCGGCTTGAAGCTTTGGGACTTCTAGGTTTAGGGCTTGGCTGGCAAACTGTGCGCTCCAAAAAAAAATGGGGGCCATCACCAGATCTCGTAGGGCTTCGGCTTTGGGATGTTAGCCGTTAGCCATCATGGTATCGCTTTCGGCCCTTGGGCGGGGTCTCAAGATGTGGATGTTCGTATGTCTGCATGCGGCGGCCCATCGGTAAACCAGATGTATACGCATGCCCACATGCAATGCATGTGTCTTCATGTCCACACGACATGGGTCCCTGGAAGCAAGTGCGGATCGGTGCACTTGCGTATGTAGCAACGCACATAGGCTTTCATGCATGTATGTCCTTATGCCAGTATGTTTGCATGTCTGTCTGTCAGTCTGTCTGTCTGTCTGAATGCATGCATGTCTAGATGCCTGTATGTTTGCCAGCATGTATGCCAATGCATGCAGCATGCAGGCATGGATGGATGGATGGATTCACGAATGCATCGATGCATGTATGCATGTAGGCATGTAGGCATGTAGGCTTGTGCGCATGTTTGCAGACATGTAGCATGCATGCATGCATGCATACATGTGCGCAAGCAGGCTGGCTGGTAAGCTGGCTGGCTGGCTGACTGGCTGGCTGGCTTGTAGGTAGGTAGGCAGGTAAGTAGACATCCATGTGTGCAGGCATATACTTGTACATGACTGTATATGTATGCACGCACAGATCCACAGCCTTTCGGACCTGTTAAATTAGGGTCCTGCTACTTATTCTGTATCTTTGGGTTGCCTGTCCTCTGCAACTTGAAGTAAATTAGGCTCCTGCTGAATACGTAACCATTGCAGCTGCGAGTCTCCAGCTTTTCGCGATGGGAGCATCGACTGTTGACTGTCACTCGCTGGGTTGCTGTACATCTTTACATGACTTCTTCCCAGCGGCTAAGATGTGGGGCGGTTCGGCCGAGGGCCTGTGTACCCGGACGAGCCCTCACATGATCAATAAACCCGAAACCCTAAACCCACTAAACCTCATACGTGCCCTAAACTTAGAAACCTTACATCAAGACTATGTTGCTCGGCTCAGATTGTAGGTGCGGGCCATGTCTGCCCTGATGTTTCCACAGCGCATTCCACAGGTGGATGGCCGTCTGTCTGAGTGAGGACGGTAGCCGAAGAACTGGTTCGAGCAGTGCGCAGAGAGCATCCCACACGAGATCCCAGATCGTCTGCCGCCTGCTCGGCTTCTGCGGAGTCTCTGTGGTGGTTTGCTGCTTGTGCGGAGCCTTCGTGCTAGGAAGGTCTGTTGTGCGCAGAGTCATCGAGGTTGTCAGCCCCGGCTTATGCGGAGCTGTCGGTGTCGGAAGCGCTGTGGTGCTCGAAGCCTCTGTGGTCGTAAGTGGCTCGTACGCTGTCTTCGTGGCGGAAAGCTCTGTTACGGGCGGAGCCTCCGTGGTCGTCTCTGTTATTGGCTTGAAGGCACTCGTCGTAGTGGAAGGCTTCATGGTGCGAGGAGCCTGAGTGCTGGTCATCACTGGCTTCGGCGGAGCCGCTGTCGGTAGCGGCTTCTTGCACTTCCTGTCGAACAGCATCCTGCTTGCTGGTGCTCGGAGCAGAGGGCAGAATACCATGTCCTCCAGCAAAGCCGAGCATTCTCTGGCCTTCCAGACACACGAGAACACATCTTCGCTTCGGCACAGCAGCTCGTCAAGCTGTTGGGGTGAAGGGGAGCGCCCTCCCACCCGCAGGAGCAGGGCCGAATCCACGTATCCGCACATTCCTAGGCTCGACTGGCTGCGGATAGCAGTAGAAAAAGAAACACCCAAAGGTCGTGGTGTAACCGACTAGATGGATTACGGGTGGATGGAAATCCATAACAAGCCTACTGCAACTCTTTCAAAAAAACACGATAAACTCAACTTAGATTCCGGGACAGGCCCTGGCGCATTCAGGAAAGTGAGTGATCGTTCCCTTCCTCACTGCGCTGTCTCTGGCAAAGGGGCACACTGGATTTGCACCGCAGGCGCCCAGCAACAGAAACGTGACCAAGAGCTCGAAGTGAGCCACCATGGCTGCAACCCTCAACCTTAAACCCTAAAGCCCCTTCGGACCGTTTGGCTTGAGCCCAGCTAGACGTTGCCTTGCTTGACATCTCCCCCTTGCTCCAACAACCCTTCGTTTAAACAGCAAAACAGCACCCTAGCCCCTAACACTGAGGCGTAACCCCACGTTAAAACCTGCACCCTAAGCCCTGAACCCTATACTCTGGACCCCTAACCCACATCCTGAGCCCTCAACGGTAGATTCCGAACCCAAACTTTCAACACAATCACGCACCTGATCAGGTAGGCAGCAGGCTCGGCAGCTACTATGCCTTCGATCATGAAGTCAAAGTCTGGTGGAAACACCTTGGATTTAGGGTTTAGGGTTTAGGGGTTTAGGGGTCGAGGCTTTCGGTTTTTGGGTTTTAGGGTTTAGGAAGCCAGAAAGTTGGAGCATCATCATCCTCACACCCTCAAAGCAAAACATAGGGAGTCTCTGCACTAATCACTACATCCTAAGACCATTTTCCAGCTTTCTAGGGTTCACTGTAGTTGGGGAGATTGATAATGCGAGTTGCTCAATATGAGTACTGCGAAGACTGGTCTAGTGTACATATTCATACTCAGGTTCATAATGATGAAGCATCAACAAACTGACCAGCACATAAGGTTCGGGTGCCGAGCTGCGTCGGGTTCTGCGACAAAGTGAGATTACGGGGATTCTAGAAAGGAGCTGCATCTGGGGGTTTTGGATCCTTTTGGGGTTTCGGGAGCAGGGTTTGGGGTTTAGGGGCTTTAAGTTCTACGCCCACGAAACCCTTCGGGTTCAGAAACATGATCTAGGGTTACAGTACTTTCAAGACTTCAGGGTCCCGAAACTTGCTGCTAAACACCAGCAACTTTCCACCCCCTAAGATCTCGGGAGACCCAAAACTTCTGGCTCAGAGTTTCTCGAGACCAAACTTGGGATTTCGAGGCTTAGGGCTCAGACATTGAGAGATTTGCGGGCTAGGGCCCTAAACCCTAAACCCTAAACCCTAAACCGGTAAACTGCTTCAGAGGCGTCGGGCTCGGGGCTTTAGGCTTTCGGTGCTTGGACTTTAGACTTTTGCGGCTTTCGGGTCCGGGGCAGCAGAGCTGTTGCGCTTGGGGTTTCGGTGTGTCGCGGTGAGGCCTTCGCGGGCTTTGCGTTTAGGTTTAGGCGCTCTAAACCTGCAAACCCCGAAGCCCCAAACCCTACACTTGGTCCTAAACCCTAAACCCCAAAACCAGAAACCCTAATACCCTAAACCCCAAAGCCCAACCCCCTCCCCGAAACCCCAAAACGCTAAACCCCAAACCCCAAACTCCTCAACCATAAACCCCGATTAAGGTTGTTGGCCAGGAAGCTCGTTCCTGGAAGTAGACGCATGGGTGAACGCCGTTGGTGTACTCTAGCTTGAAGAGGCCTGGTGCTGTAGAGATCCTCTGTTTTGGGCTAGAGGGTTGAGGGCTTTAGGGGTTAAGGGTTTAGGGATCTATCCAAGGTCGGAATAGTTAGAACTAGTATCTCACGAAGGTACCGTACTGTAGGTAATATAATAACAGTATCCCGTTTTAGTAATCATTATAAGTTTATCCCCTTACAGTAACTATTATAAGTATAATATAATGATATCCAGCTGCATCCCAATGCTGCTGCTGCTGCGTGGAGATTCCTGGGGTTAGTATAATACTCATTTTACGGATATAGCTACAGTCGCCCCTTTCGCAACAACACTCTCGCTCGGACTCTGCATATTGCCAGTATGCCTGTTACGACTACTGTTCTTACTGCTATTAACATAACCGCTACCATTTGCAGGAGCAAGGGTGGTCACGCCGCCATGATTGTTTGGTTGCAACTCCAACACTCCAACTCATGCCACTACAGTTACTAGTACTGGCAAAAGTTGCAAGACTGCGGCTCTATTCGCACGGCTGCTACTACTTGCTACTTACTGCTTACTACAGTACTTTCTACTTCTACTTCTACTGCTACTTCTACTGCTACTGCTGCTACTACTGCTGCTGCTGCTGCTGCTATTGCTGCTGCTGCTGCTGCTGCTGCTGCTGCTATTGCTGCTGCTGCTGCTACTCTGATGACAATGACTGCTACTACTCGGCCTCGAGTTGCAGAGTATTTCGGTTCGGCTTTTCAGTCAGAGCAAATGCATAATGCCAGCTTACAGCTTAGACCGCTTCGTAGCACATGCATGTGTGCCTGGCAAGTGAAGGTTGAAGAATCGCATCATCTCCAGGCACTCCTGGCACGGCTTCCAAATCTCACTGGTGGCAGGCGTCTCCATTTGGGACTCGGGACGCCGCTGTTCGTGCTTTTGGCGTCGGTCCGTACTGCTGCTGCTGCTGCTGCTGCTGCTGCTGCTGCAACTCACTCACCTCATAGCGACCACGACCAGGACCACCACGACCACTGCGACTACTTCTACTTCGGCACCGTCTTCTTCTACTGCTTGTTCTTCCACCACCACCACCACTACTACTGCCACCATTACAATGCGCCTTACCAGGAGCTGGAGAAGCCTATGGTGATGGCGAGACTTCGGGTGCATGACCTTCGAGGGTGAAGAGGGCCGATGATCCGGCACGTCAAAGGCCCGGGGATTTGGGTTTTTGGGTTTGGTGACAGTTGCTTTGGGGTGTAGGATCGTTAAGGCTTGGCATCAAACCTTACACAAGATCAACCCTAAACCCTAAACCCCTAAACCCCCCCCCGCCCCCCAAATCTCGGATCCTTCAGAACCTCCAGGAAGATGTTCTTCCCCACCACCAGGAACTTGCAATTCCTGGGCTCAGGGTGCCAGTTGGAAGCCCAAGCCTTTTTCGGTGGATTTTTCGGGTTCCTTTCAAGGGGATCTAGAAGGGTTCCATGAAGGGTTCCTTTCAAAGGGATCTAAAAGTTTAGGGTTTTAGGGATATGGGGGTTTGGGGTGTTTAGGGGTTTTGGGGGTTTAAGGGGG